TCGACTGGGCCTTGCCGCGCTCAACTACATGATGGACCGGATGGGAGGCCGGCAACTCCGCCACTGGATCATCAAACCCCGCTTCGAGAAGAAGCTCACCATAGACCAGCAACAGAGGGAAGAGGGCTATCAATTCATTAGGGATTTCGGGCCCAAGGCGAACAACTGCAACCAATTTATGGAGTGGACTGACGAGCAGATCCACACGCCAGGCGGCAAAATCGAGAATTGGCCCGAAGGCAAGGTGAAAGAAGCTCTGCATAACTACATGCGGGGGCGGCAGAATGCCAAAACCTTGGAATTCTGGCCATTCACGTTGAAATCGTTTACGCCGTGGTTTCTCGACTCGGTCTTGACCAAGATGATCCCAACCATGAGGCAGCATTCCATCACGTGGTTGGGACGAACCCGTACCGGGAAATCGTTTGGATCGAAAACTGTTCTGTTTATGCAGTCCAAGTTTGAGATCGACGACGCCGATCGGTCGGACTTGGTCCCTTCCATAGTGACGGCGAAGAACCTGGATTTCTTTAAGGCGGAACCGCTTACCAGGTTCAAACCGGGTGTCTTTGATGATGGGATGTTGCAGAAAATGGACTCCTCCTTCTTGAAAGCTTTCCTGAATCCTTCCGTCGCTTGCATACCGTACATCAAGCTTTGGTTTAGTTATATTCAACACTACATCTCCTGATTATTTACTTTGGGGGCTTGTAAGTTTGTTTCCCAGTGTCGCTTTCGTTCATCATCAAACCGTCCCTTTGAGGAAGAGGACGCCACCGTCTGGGCCAGGTACACCTCCGCACAGTTCGACCAGGGCGCAGGCCGCCACGCATGCAACAACCCATACGCCAGAGACTTGGATGAGAAGCTCTACATGGACATGAAAAAGTCAAAGGTATGGCAAGCCCCCCACAACAAGTTCATTGACATGATCAAGCCTTCCTTCGCTGCCATTGACGAAGACGAAGACATGGACGCCATTCTTGCTAGAACCCACATAATACTCATCACGGATTGTGGCATTTACTACCGCGTGGCTAGCACCTCCAAGGACCCCATCAGCTTCATTCAGTGGGATGACAACGAGCCCATGGATCTCATGACAGCTTCCCAAAAGCCCATCTTCAAGCAGTACAAGATGCAACCCCACGTGCACAATTACCCAGCATCGTATCTGGAAGATCTTGCTTGGTCTCAAACGCTCATTCGTCGCTTGCTCAATGGTGAACCCGTACCCAGAGGCCACACAGTGCTACGACCTACAAGTTTGTTCGGGAGCAGCAATGCAAGGACCAGTTGTGAAATAAAACTCATTGTAAATCTTAGGGAAATATGGTTTAGTTTCTCTTGCAAACCGTCTCGTAAGCTACAGCATTCCAAGTGAATTTTGGATTCATGGTTCGTGCTTGTGCTGTGCCAGGACTGCAGTTGCATCGTACCCCGCTCTGCTTCCTGAGCCAGAGCTTCGCGTCAAGATCAAGAAGGAAAAGGTTGATACAGCATTTCGTTCCCTCAAAGGTGGGACAGTTGTGCATACTATCAACATTGACTCGCCGTCTCCCAAGAAGTCCACCGCATCCTCGTCCGACTCGGTCATGCCGTCGTCAAAGCGTGCCAAGGTCACAGATGCAGCCGTCGTCGGAGCGCCCTCTAATCCTGTCTTTCCCACTCTTGCTCGTGATGCCGATGCAGACGAGGAGGATGTCATCCCGGAGGTTGGCCAAGCCCCAGACGAAATGGAGCAGGAGCTTGAGCGGTTGATTGATGAACACGATGGTGAGATGGATGTGGAGGAGTGAGTGCATAGTGGCTTCAAGCCTGATCTACTCTTTATGGCATACTGCGACAGGAATAATATATTATCCTCGTACTAGTCTTATTCACTACCTAACTCACTACATGGTTTAGGGCGCGCAGGATTTTGATGCCATGTAGGACACAGGCCCAGTTCGAATCACGAACTTGCAGGGGCTTCACAAACCGCTGTACTGCCAGCAGACTTTTGCGAGCCCCCCAAAAAGGTTTTAGAAACATCTATGTTGTGCTGCGGTGCTGCATACTTTGCTTCGCCCCTTTGATGCTCCTGATGCGTGTTTCGGTTCTAAGTCATCTGCTGTAGGTGCTACAACCAAATCGCGAAACATGGTGACCTATGCTGACTGGATTGCCTTTCGAGAGGCTGTCTTGGCAGCGGACTTCCTGAATCGTACGGAGTTCCTTCGTGTGGTCGTTCATTCTCAGATTCGTCAGCCAGGAAATTTGCCAGATGCCCCGCCCTCCAAGGCCCTTTTGGCGTCACAAGCCCTTCGTCTCGTACCAGGTGAACGACATTGTCCAGAATGCTTTGCTTCCTTCAGGCTCTCCTTCAAGTATGGAGTCTACAGATGGTGCGGTCCACGCTACGGTGACAACCGATGTGCTCTATGCGATTGCAAAGAATATTCAGCAACAGCCATAGGATTTCTGCACAACGTGAAGCAAGCTCTGTGGATGGCAAAATTGGATTGCTTTGTCATGTGGATCCTCGAATATAGTCGCCGCCAAATTCTTCAAGAATTGCACCCGGTACGNNGACCATTGGACTAAATCCTTCCAAGAGACTTTCAGTGCTTGGTTTAACACTAAGCTTCATGACGGTTTGGATGGATCTTTGTTTCAGAGTTTGATGCGCGCATCCACATCTTCCAACAGCCCTCCGTCTAAGAAGAGACCGGCATCAGCATCTGCAAGCACGAAACGGCCATCAACATCTATGAGTGCAAAAAAGAAACCCAGCATCGCGAAGATCCACTTGAAAGCTCATGAGAACCGAAGAATTCTTATTGCTGACGAAACCCATCTCAACAAGAGGAAGCCTTCAATACTCGCAGCACATGGCAGACCTCAAAAAGAGCAAATTTGGCTATGGGGAGCTGTCTTGCAGGGGCATGTTAATACCCACTTCGTTTTCCGCATCCTGGATCATCCAGACGAAGCCCATTCTGGAAAGCCTCGAGGTCACGGCGAGATGCTCAAGAACATCAACATTCTCGGATTGCGCAAGGGCGACACCTTCGTATCAGATGGATGGAAAGCAACCGTATCCGCAGTGAAAGCTTACCGTCGCACACACCGCCTTTCTCAAAATGATCTCCATCATGAAATCGTGAACCACAGTGAAGGAGAGCTTGTAAATTCGCATGGCTTTACCACAAACCCAATAGAGGCCAAGTGGAGCCTGATTAAGCGATGGATCCGCCACAGAATGTCTGGCAGATTGCCAGGACATTCAGACAGACATATGTGGCGCCTTCTTATAGACGAGTACCAAACACGAAATCTTTTGAAGGCAAGGAACCCTCAGATCTNNTGATCGTGGCAACATCGTCGCTCTCCGTTTTTGTGAGGTTGTCCCGTTGTTTCGTGTACAGTGACGTTGTCGAGTTTCGCGCAAGCAAAACAGTTGCTCATGATGCAGTGTTGGTTGTCATGCGAGCTTTGATGTCTGTGAACGCGCCATGACCCGGACTCGAAACTCGTGAAAGGCACTCGCGCTTATTTTACCATCAGAATCAAAGGCCAAAGCGAGATGCGAGTATGTTGGTCATGCTTGTCTGCGGCACAGCAGTTATAGATATGCTTGAAACAGCCATCATCTCTTCTGTCAGTGGGGTCCAAGTCACAACGCAACAGTCTCAACACATGTTCTAGAATACATGACAACACGGTAGTAAACACGACAGCCCATATCGTACAGCACAAAAACGCAGCGGTAGACTTCCGGCTTGTAACCATATATTTATATATCCCTGTCTCTGTCTGTTGCAGTTAGTTACACCATACATACATACACACATACGCATACATGCTTAGCACTCGCTCTCGACCAGCAGGTGTGGGGGCGGTAGACAGGCGAAACATGCGAAACTGCACAGCTTCGGCACACTGATGACGAGCTCCAGTACATGCATACGTACATACATACATACATACATACATACATACATACATACACATACATAATGACATTTATCCATCCATCCATCCATCCATCCATGCATGCATACAGACATACATCCT